TGTCTCACTTTTAAGCAACTGAGAAAAATTTCACCACTTTCACACCTTCAATAATGCAGAGGGATTGGGTTCGGCTGTTGTATAGTTTTACTTAATGGGACACTGCAAGAGTGAAATAAAACCTTCGGTTAGTGTTGATTTCCTATAAATTTTTGAACAATATTGCCTTCGTCGCCTTCTGCAAGTGGGGTAGGTCTATCTTTCTAAAGATTTCATTAATGATTCTGGTGTTACCTCGGTAACAGATATCACTATTGGTATAACTTAGACAAAGTCCAATAACCACAGTTGTTTACGTTCAATAAGCAGATCTGTACATTTTTTCATCTTTTAATCGTAGGCAGTTTGAATATTACATGGTTTTTGTTATTGTAATGGTGATCAGTTGTGCAGTCTTCTTGAAATTATCTTCAAGTTTAATATCTGGTCTTTTGTATGAAATGTCTTTATTGGTAATGATTACTCTCAGTATAATTTTACCTGATCATTGTCAACAATTTCTCAGGCCAATATTTATAATAAGAAACTGTACCCATGTATGAAGACAGTGGACCATATGTGAAGGCACCACTTGTGGGCAGTGTATTGGTGCAATATTTTGTCGACATTTAGATGACTAGTTTATTCTCCGTTGTAGCTAATCATTGACATCCAAACACAACTTGATGTATACTTTCTGTACCGAAGTGTCAGATTCTGCTAGTATCATCTAACTTCATGATATTATATAACAACTTCATGATTTATGTATCGTAAATCCTTGTGCTGATTCCATGATCCGGGATGAAATCCTCTGTCTCTTGAAAGAATTCCCCCAAAATCAGCCAAGCGATAGACGCAGTTTTATTGACAAATAACTGATTTAGTATGTAGGCCTGTTTTCTATGAAGGTTTCCTTGCAACCAAGAGAGTCACTTTTAATCATGGGAAGAGAGAATCATTTTTCATTTTTTACTTGGAAATTCATTTTCCAAATTCAAAGGAGATAATTTCTTAATGCCATCACAACAGCTTCCTGAAATGCAGATTCCTTTTGTGTTTCTCTGAAGTATGATTTGAGCGGATTTGTTTCCGCAGCTAATTTTGGGTGATATCTGAAATTCGTCAATTTTTTTTTGTTTTCCATTGGATATCTGTTATATCTGTACTAATCTAATGTATCCCTCCAAACGCGTAGATTAACACTGGCAGTGCACAGTTATTGATTGCCTTCGCAGGAGATAGAGTTATCGCCTGTGATAATTCCGTACCTGCTTCCGTCATTTATTTAGATGTTTTGGAGAAAATAACGGATATAAGTTCTTGCCTTCAAAAGAAAATTGTTTCTGTTTTGCCCATGTGAAGATGTGTTACGAATGTTGGCATCAGTGGTCGCCGCGAGCTTGAGCGTTCAACTGTTTATTGTTGCAGACAGGGGGAATCAAGGTCATCGTACAAGGAAAATTGCGCAAGTA